TGTACAACTATCTTTTCTGTAGGCCATGGACACTCTAGGACAAATCAAAGAAAGCACATATCCAAATAAGACTGTAGTTGGGTGTGTCTGCAAAGTGAAAGACCCCCTACCACCCATTCAGTCCCACTTGCCACATATATAGGTCCCTGCCCTGACACCTCAGTCTGCCCCAAGTTGTTCTTTTCACCCTAGGCATATGCCACAAAGGAGTGGTAAGTAGGGCACTTACATTTTGTCTCCCACCTTCCTCTCTCAAGCAAATTTAAAAATAATCTGTGAACTGATTTATCCGTTCTTCTCCATGGAGTTAAAGGCTGCTTCTTTAAAATTTTCTAGGAAGTTTCATGACTACCAGTCCAGGCGACAGCCTTCTTCCGTCCCATTTCATTATCTCTGGGTGATGAGAAAGTAAAGACGGGAAGAAGATTCTTTTAGGAATAAGGCAGCTTGGGAGGCAGGCTACTTCAGGATGCTGAGAGAAGCATTTCTACTACCTTTACATGGTGCTTCATAAATGCGAAAGTTGTTCTGCAGCCCAGTTGTTGATTCGAGTGGTGAATAAATGATTGAGAAAGTATGTATGACTTTGACCTTGTAAGTGGCAGGAAAAGCTACAACTGGGTCTTCGGGCCCCTTGCCTCAAAGGAAACGCAACTTCTAATTCTTCCTCTGCCATTGACATGAGGTTTGACCCCCCTCATCCTATCTCATGTCCATAGTGAATTTTTCATCTGAAACATATGCAACCTGGGCCCAACCATCAGTCTGGCTCTCGCAGCGTCCCAGATAGCCAGGCTAAACTGGCAGGGTGGGTGACCAAGCCTGTGCCTCCAAGAGCTCCGGGGGACTGGAGACCAAGACCTCTTCCTCAAAAACCCTGCTCGAAAAGACTGGGGCCGCACTGGATCTAGGGCAGGGGCGGGCCGCACACTCCCTCTCGGCTCGAATCCCAGGGACCTCCATCGGACCACCGCAGCGTTGGATTCGAGGCGCCACAGGGACTCCGAGGGTCTCTAGCCCGCATTAACCCAGAGCAGCCCTCTTCGGCGTTAACATCTCTAGTGCTCATTAAGACGGAGAGCAGGATGCGCCCGCTGGGCCAGTGGTACTCTGTGTTCGTTACACCTAGAAGCGGGACACCGAAGTCCACACCGACTGCCCCAGTACCGCCGCGGGACGGTGAACTCTAGCGCCGGCCGTGCTGGGCGACGAGTTCCTTCTGCGCCTGCGCGCAGAGCATGCGCAGTGGCGGAGGCGGTGGGTAGGCCGGGGCAACGTGGGCGGGGCTAGTATCCCGCCGCGGCTGGTGCACTGAAACCCTACCCGCGCAGAGAGCATTCTAAGCCACGAGATTCCGGAGGGGAACCGTGCCGGGCACTCTCCCTCGCTCAGGGCACCTACCCACGCTTCGGGTCTGTGGACCCTATTGTCCGGGAACGGACGAATTCTCCGCGCGTTTCTGGCAGGATTCGCAGGGCGGGGCCGGGAAATGTGGGAGCCTTAGTATCACCGCCCGTCTGTGATGTCATCGAACTGCATAAATGAGATCCCGCTGTAGACTTAGCGGAGCCCTGGAGTATTTTGCCGGAGGCCTGTGTGGCGTCACAGCGCCCTAGTGCTGTGGCAGGTGGGGCGGGATGCCTTTGAGCCGGCTCTGGAGACACCAAGATTCCAGGGATGGGGTTGGGTATGCTATCACAGGTTCCACGTTCTGGGTTCTGAGGCGCTATCAAGGAGCCCTAGACCAGTCCACTGCGTTTCTCCCTTCCCCACGACCCTATGTTAGCTCTGACTCCCGCGGCCAAGAGGTCCGCAGGGAAAAATGGTCCATCCTACGCCCCAGACCCCTGACTACATTCGGAAGGAGGAGGTGGAACCTTAACCTCTTCCTCTTGGGGAGAAGCGCCTGCGAGCTGTTCTTTCCCCAGAGCGCTGCTGATCTCCCAGAGCGAGCACCCGGAAGCTCCAGGCTGCCTCGAAGGTCTCTTGCGCCTTCTACCCATCAGCAAAGAGGTCCAGCCGAGTAGCGCCCCCCCCCCAACACTCCGCCCCTCACAGGAACAGCTGGCCTAGCAGCTTGGGGGAGGGCCCCAGCTGGACTCTCCTTTCCCTTCCTTCACTCCCGAAAACCGACCCAAGACACACTGGGAACCTGAGACCAAAGAAGCCTTAATGTCTGAGAACTGGAGTCGGGGGAGGTGGGGAGACAGAGGAATGGGATCTTCTAGAGGTGTGTGGGGGGGAGTTGTCCCCTTGCCGCGTGGGGGACAACTCATTGCCTTTTCTTGCTACCCATAGAGTGGGAGCTGGAAACTACCCCAACCACGTTGCCTGGGAACTGTAGCCTGTGCGGTGTCTGGGGCCCGCAGCCCCAGCTTGCCCTTCCACGTGCGCTGTTACTGCGCAATCCATGAAATCACTGTCAGGGGATAGACGCATCAAGCTATGCTGCGACATGTCTTCTGGGTCCAGCAGGATGATAGCGAGCCACTGGTAGGGCAAGACACGGTGGAGCCATTGTGAGTCAGTGCAGGTCTTTGGACAGTACCCTGCGCGACTCCCAGCGCCTCGCTACAAACCCTGTGCTGGGAATCCATCCCTTAAGGATGCACACTTGATGTTGCAGGGTCTACGAAGGACGGAAGGAAGGGGATTCAGGTTACCAGAGGTGGGGTGGTCCAGAATGGAAAAACCTCTCCTGCAAACCTTCCCCATTTCATAGCCTTCACGAGGTCCTTGGGGCAGAGCTAACTGCAGAGGCTCTGGACGTCCTGGGGGAGTGGGAGGTGGCCAACGTGGCGGCTGCGGGGGCGGCAGCAGTAGTAAATCCTTGAGAAAGATGGAACCCCGGAAAGAGCAGAGGAACTGAGGGAGGCGCTCTCACAGGTCCTCAGAGGTGCCCAAAACTTTCCCTAGGGTTGTGTGTACCCAGGCACTGTCATCTTAGAACAGCCACGTCCGCCGACCTCACGGAGCTAATAAAGGAACTGATGTGGCTCCTGCCATGAGCCTTAACGTAAGCCATGGCCAAGTGCGCACACCTTGCTACGGGCTGCACTGGCTGGGCTAAAGACGTCGAAGCCCCAAGCCCACTGACTAACCCTCCCTCTCTGCGCCCAGAAATCACAGTTCTCTGGGATCCAGACTGCGTTTCTCTCCTGGGGAGCGTCCTTATGAAGCTGGGGAAGAAGGGCTGTGATTTTGCTCCACGAGGGGAGATCCCCCAGGCCGGTTCAAACCCGGACGGTCCTCATTCTCAGTGGGCCGTGGGACCGGTCAAGAAGGTTTTGAGGGCAAGACCAGACATCTAGAGGAGTGGTGGACAGGGCCTGCAGCGGAGAGTTCATCTAGAGAGTCCATCTAGATGGGTTGTGGGCAGGACACTGTGAGGTGCCCCAGTCCTGGGCCGCCCGTCCAGGCCTGTCCAGCAGGGGGCAGTGTGGCTCCGGGCTCATCGGCGCCCGCCCTGCTAAGGCCACAGGGACAAGTTGGGTTCCGGAACCGCGGAGTTCCAGCCCGCACTGGGCGGGGAGGCATCCCCAGAGGAGGTGGGGACGGTGCAGTAAAGGCGAGAGCATTTTAACTCCTATGGCCCGGGCTTCCTTTCTCAGGCCCGCAGGGCCCTGCCTGAGGCTGGGGCTTTGGGTCCCCGCGGCAGGGAAGCCGGCCCGGCCGTCTCCGCGGCCGCTGAGCGCAGGGCACAGAAGCCCGAGAGGCCGCGCGCTCGGCTTGGGAAAGGCCGCGGGCGCCACCGCCTGCGCCGCCCTGCGGTCGAGACTCTGGAGCTGGGGAGTCCCGCCCCGCCCCAAGCAGGAGAGCCCCCGGCGGCCTGGCCTCTAATTGTGGGAAAACTAGACGCCCCGGGGAAGGTTCAACTTGTGGAGGGCGGACTCAGATTTCCCCTCCTAAACTTCCCGGGCCTCCCGGGGCGCCCGCCCCCGCCATTCCTAACAAGGCTTTAAAAACTGTAGGGAATCTTCGAGGGCGTGGGGCCGTGCTCCGGGCAGGGGACGAGCCCCAGCCAGAGAACTGTGTCTGGGGGATCCTAATGGAGAGAGGATTGTTGGTTTGGGGCTTTGGGGGAGGCAGCGGTGATTGTGCACGTGCAGCCGGGTATGGGGGCCCAGAGGACAGTACTGGTCCTGAGGCTATCAGTGAAGGCACCCCCTTCCCTCACCAGAGCAGATGCAGGAGGTCAGTACGGAAGCCTTTGGTTGGAGAGGTGGGTGCCATTCTGTTCCCTTAGTGCACCCTAAGCGACCCCGGGACCCGGAGACGTTGAGATTTCTCACGGCCGACGTCCTGGCCTGGCCGCAGGCTTGGCTTCTTTATAAACCCCCAGCGGTTTGGAGGTGAGGACTGGGGACACTGAGACCTAAGACCGAAATGGAGGAGTGAAGTAAGAAAAGAAACCTGGGACGGAATCCGAGGTAGACCAACACAGGGAGAGAGGAGGCTTCTCCATCCATCTCAACCCTAGCACCTCAATAAGGCGGGGGTCCGGAAGTGGGACAGGGTGGAGCGGGTAGGGAAACCTGCTCCTCTCGAGGCAAGGAGCCTCCCGGTTTCCTGTGTTTGGGAGGGAAAATACCCATCCTGCAATGCCTGTAAAATAACCGTTTATTTCATATTTTAAAAAACTCCAGTGATAAATGTCCGTTACCGATGGTCAGCATAAAGTGCCAATCGCAATACAACGCCCTGCTCCTAGCCGGCTGCTCGCTCGTGGTGACTGGGCGGCGGAGCAGGGGCGCGGGAGGCCGGGCCCCCTCCAGCCCCAGGGCCCCAGGCCCCCCGCCCCGCCGTCTGAGTCCGAGGGCCAACGACCCGCGGCCGCGCGGCGGCGCAGGAACGGAGCATCCGCGGCCCCGGGGTCCCAGGGCCGGGCTGCTGAAGCAGATACATGGATTACACTTTTGCAGGCTCCCGGGGGTGGGGATGGGGACGGGAGGAGGGGGTGAAAGCTGCGAACGCGCAGAACTTCTTTCCCTCTCCCCTCTCTCTCCGCAGGCAGAGTTACAAGCTTATATGGTCAAAGAAAAAAAATAATAAAGAAAACGTATAAAATAACAATAGAAAAAGTAATACTTCTGGGAGAGGCGCCGCTGCGGCTCCGCGGAGCTTTCCTTCTTTTTTTAAATGCAGTTTCCCTTCCGCCACGTGAGTACCGCCTTTTGGCCAAGACTTTAGCCGCGTCCTGGGGGAGCCGCCCGGGTGGCTGGGGTCACGGCTCGGGGCGGGGCTCTCGAGTTCCGCGTGCGCCCGGGTCCCAGGGGACAAGTTTGGGATAGGGAAAGGTCCCGGGAACCCCTCCCGCTGCCCGCCGGAGTCGCCTTCGGCTTCAGGTCCCTCTGGAGGAAGGGGCAGCGTGACCCAGGGTGCCGGTGACCCGGAGGCTCTCTTTAGCATTTGATCTTGGAGGTTTTGAGCTCCTTCACCTGTGAGTGTAGCGTCTTGTGGACAGCGAGAGTCCTGGACTGGCAGAATCCTTTCCCACACTCCTGACACTTGAAAGGCTTCTCTTTGGAGTGAATATATCTGAAAGCAAAAACAGAGAAATTAATCTTTGCAAAATGATGTCATGTTATACACAGTTATCCAAGATCCCCTCCCACAGCAATGAGGCGCTTGCCCTCCAAAGAAAGGGGGGAGGCAGGCAGGGGGTACCTAGTGTGGAGTGGGCAAAATTCGAAGTTTGTGGATGGAGTAGGGAGGTGAAGGCAATCCATAGGCAATGTCTGATCCATCGGATCCGTCAACAGGTCCAGCTAGGCCCGCCCCTGCCTCCCCCAGAGGGACAAGCACGGTCTCCTTATAAGGCCCGGGTTAACAATAAAGGCGAAGAGGGGACCTGGGGCGGGGGGTGGGCAGTTTGCTGGAGCTGGGCTGTCCAAGCTGGGGCAGCACTAGCCACATGTAGTTATTAAAATTAAAATTCAGTAAAACTAAAAAGTTAATCTCGCAGTCACACTAGTTGTGCATTTCAAGTGCTCAGTGGGGACATGTGTCATGGGTCCCGCTTTCCATCACTGCAGAAATTTGTAGTGGACAGCGCTGCTGATGGGAGAAGGGTGAGGCAGCTGTGCCTGCCCGTCTGGAGCTCGTGGAGACCTGACTTCTTCTTCCCAGGCTCTCTCCACCCCACGCTCCAAGAACCTATCCCTGAGCCTTGTCGGGCTTCCTTTGCTATGTTAGAGAATTCCCAGGAACTGTGATGCTTGGAGCCAGAGCTGGGCTCAAGAACCGCCTCATTAGGGAGGAGGACGGTGAGAACAGAGACATACAGACAGCTTTTCGGGGGAGGGGGGCACCCGCAGTACCTGTGGTCCCGTAAGTGGTCTTGCCTCCGGAAGGCTTTGTGGCAGATGTCACAGGTATAGGGCCGCTCATCGGTGTGTGTCCGCTCATGGATAAGGAGGTTGTAGGACTTGGTGAAGTGGCGGCCACAGAACTTGCAGACGAACTCCTTCTTGGTCTTGGAAGGCAGGCGTCCCCTTGTGGGCTTCTTTTCTGGGGACAGCTTGGTTACATCCAGGAGAGCACCCAGCCCACCAGTGGGGGACCCAGGACCCTCCCCCCGGGCAAGCTTGGATGGATCTTCCTGCGTGGCAGCCAAAGCCAGGTTGGCAAAATCAAAGCGTGGCTTGGTCTTGAGTGCAGAGGGGCCGCTGCCTCCAACGGTGATCTCGGGCTTAGGCTGGATTACATGAGGAAACCAGGGAAAGGCGGGCAGTGGGAAGCGCGTGTCCACCAGGCTGGACACGGCGCCCGGCACTTTGGAGAAAGAGGAGCGCGGCAAGTGCATGGCAGGGTAGCCCAGCGTCCACTGGTGCAGGTGCACAGCGTGCAAGGCACTGAAACCATACAGGTTGGGCAGGTGGTCCGAGGGCACCGTGGGCAGGCCATTCACTGCCTGAAGGAAGGAGTAGTTGGTGAGCTGCAGGGATGGGTGAATGGGCACTGGCGCTGGCAAGGTTTTGCTGCCCATTGTGGTAGTTGCAGTGGGTTCTTGATCTCAATCTGCAAAGGAAAGAAGAAAAAAAGAAGGGAGAAAAAAAGAGAAGTTCAGGGTAGGTCGCCCTCCTCCTGAATTCCAGCCCAGCCACACCCTCTTTGTCCCCCCAGGGCAGATGCTGGGAGTCTGATACCCCGCGGAGGGAACCCACTGCCCTCACAGAGAAGATGAAACCCTCTCTGATGCAAGGGCTCCCTCCAAATGGCCTTCGCAGAGACACACAACTTGCTTCAGAAACTAAATCCTACGGAACTCAACCAACTTAAGTGAGGGCCTCCAGTGTCCAGAGCCCTGAGAAAGGGAGGGGCACAGGGACACTGGTGTGTGGAAATTTACATCCACACAAGCCTAAGTCAACACAGAATTGCACTCTCCTGCAAAGAGAACAGGAACTTGGAAGCACACTTACACATTCATGTGCAGATAAACAAACATAGAAACGCGCAATGATAGATAAACGCGGATTCACGCGTTCTGAAGCAGTTGACAAGGTGCATCCCAGATAAATGGAGATGATCAGTGTTGTGCTACTCAACAAAATGCAGGAACTGGCCCGAATGTGGTCACACGCACGTGCGTGAACACACACATACACACACAGGGATTGCACGGAACCCATGAAGGGCCTCACAGAGAGACAGCACACACAAACACACACAAATTTGTACGTCTCCCACTACCCGTGCATTAAACTCTACTAGCTGATCTTCAATTTGGCTTCCAGAAGTCATGTCATCTTTCTCCTCAAAACTCTCAACTTCGACGTCAAATTTGCTTTTCTGCCTCACTATTAAGGAGCCCTGTGGACAACACCCTCTCTGCTTTTGGACTGACTCCTTACCTTAGCCCCTGGGGATCACCTTTGTTTCAGCGAGGACACTGACACCCACATTCATTTACTCACTCAAACATCTGCCGTCACACATGAGGGAGATTCAGTGCCCTCCCTACCCCATAAAAAAGGGGGAGGTGTCTTTGGGTTCTCTGGATGTTTCTGTGCGCAGTGACACCTGGGCAGGTGGGTATGCCCATGGGCTACAGCATTGAGGCTGGGCCTCAGCTGCTTTGATCTCTGCCCCTCTGAATGCAAAGCCTGGAAGCTGAAGTGACCAAGCAGCCCGGCATCTCCTGGCCTGCTTGGTCAGGGTCTCCAGCCTCTGTGGACAGATCAGGGCTCTGTAGAGAGACTTTTCATCCCTGAGCCTCCCAGACATGCCTGATTTTCAGTCTGTCCAGTGGAAGCAAAAAATGGAGAAGGAAAGTAGAAAGTACATGGGGGGCCTTGGGAGGCTCAAGTGCTGAACTCTCTGGGCTCTGAGCTGGGGGCTACTTAAGAAGTCACTGTGGGAGCAGGGTACTTGGGGAGCCCTTCTCCTTGCCTGTCTCAATCCCCTGCTGCCCACTTCTTCCTTTACTCCTCATTTCCCCCTCTTCTCTTCATCAGCTTGTTCCTCTAACCCTCAGTAAGTCCCCCTCCCTGAGTTGTGCGGGCCACTGTTCTGCTCCTTCCAGGGACATACACTGACACCACCCAGACAGCTTCCCTGGCCTAGCTTACCCTCAGCACAAGGCCAAAAGTCCCAGTCGGAGACTCTGCAGCCTTTCACTGCAGCAAAGCTTTTAATGGGAGAGTGCCCTGCCCATTCAGGAAGGAGTAAGGACAATCTTGACCCAGAAACGCTTTCCCTTGGAAGCTGGCAGAGAGGTCACTGGCTGAATAGTGGGCTGGTAGCGACAGAGGTTCTACTGGGGGTGGAAGGTGCAAAACACGGAGAGCCTACAGAAATTTCCCCCTGCAAGTTACTTAGCAATGGTCTGAAAACCCAGCGTCAAGGCAGCAATTAATTCAGCCTCCGGGCTAGGGGAGTCACAACTCTGTGGTGACCGAGCCTTGGAAGCAGGAGTGCCCACCCCGGTGGAAGAGCCAGGGCCTTCGGACCAGTCTTCTCTGCTGCTTGGATCACTGGTGGCCCCGTGATCCTAGAGCGACGGGATCATCCTAGAGCGCTAAGACATGGCGAAGCAAAATACAAATGGGGCCAGAGAGAAAGCAGGGGCCCTTTGGAGTTGGGGAGGAGAGAGGAAGGAGAAGGGAGAAAGAGAAGACTCGCCAACTTCAAACGTTGGCCCAGACTTAGGCGAGGTGAGCGCTCTTTGATTTGCTGTCACCTCCTCTTCCCCTCCAGGCGCTGGAAATCAGATCCTTATCTCTGGCTCCCCGGGGCCCTCCCGGCGCCACCGGGGCCTCAGCTTGCTCCTCTCCGCTGGACCTATCCCCAGCCGAGCGAGCGTTGGCAGTGGTGCTGGGGCTCTGAGCTGCACAAGGGCCCGAGCCCGCTCGGTGCCCCGGTGGGGAGCCCACCAACGTCGGGTACTAACCTGGCCTTTCCTCGCCTACCCCCAGGAGCCGAGAGGACCTGGGGCTCCGTAGGGGGAGGGGGCGTTTGCAGCCATCACTGCTCTTGGGAGCCAACCTTTCCGGGCTATCTGCCCGATCTTGTTTCCCCCAACACTCAATTTATTTTCTTCAGCAGCGCAGCCAGTTTCTTATTTTCTGCCGCATTCCGAGGCCAGGGCTCCCCAGGCTCTCGCCAACGACTTTCCCGGGGACGAAATTCGTTCGAAACGTGGCTCCTTACACTAGTACCAAGAATGGGCGAAATGCACGATCCGGTTTCAGGCGGTCAACTAAGAGAAAAACACAGTCTCACACTCGCCTCTCCAGCCGGAGAGGATGGACGAACTCCCAGCCCCTCCGGGTCCCGTTGCCCTGACCCCCGGGACTCGTGTGTGTGAACGCTTTAGATTTTTAAACACCAGGGGAAACACCTCTCCTCGGGCCAGGCAGCCACTTGGCAAGGAGCTTGAGCTTCGGGACCTGGGAGGTGCGGGTAAAGATCCCGACCGCACGCAGCAAAAGCAATTCGCGCTTCTGAGCCTGGGTCCCCTGCGCAGTGCCGGCGCTGCTTCCCTCGCTCGGTGGAGCACCAATCTCAGGTCTGCAGCCAGCCCTACGCTGGGCATTAATGAAGTGTGTAGAGTCTATTAAAGTGGTTTATTCGGGGCTAATTAAGCGTGAGCGAGTTAACTGCTTGCATTAATGAGAACGGAGCGAACTCCACGAGCTTGCGCCTGAAGGAGCCCAGCAGCAGCCCCAGAAAATCATTCTTGCCACCGAATCCCCAACACACTCGCGGTGACAGGCGCCCAGACCCCTGGTGGGAGGACTAACCACCACCGGATACTTCTGTTGAATTCTCCCAACAAACGAGACCGAACGAACCCTTCGGCTAGGCGGCCATCCCGCGGCATTTTTTTAAACTCCCGCTGTGTCCTTAGCGATCTGTTCCCCAATCTTAATGAAACCGCGATTACTTTGAGGAGCCTGGGATAGAACATCAACCCACTGGTCGTCCCCTGTCCCTGTCAGCCCCTCTCTTCTCTAGGAGGCCGTGATCCTGGGAGACCAACTAGCTTTGCACGTGGTTTCTGTTCCCAAAAGCCAGCGCGCAGCTCATAGCCCGGTTGAAATTTACCAAATTATGGCAACAAAGAAACCCTCGGAGCTACTTTACACCCTGAGAGCCTATCCCGCTCCTGCGCGAGCTGCTGAAAAAGGACTGGGTGTGGGTTTTCATTCTTCTGATCAGAGACATTTCGGGAAAGAAATTAGTTCCGCAGGCAGCCCCTCACTTCTTTTCCTCTCTCCTCCGACTTCCCCCTTCTCTCCTGAAGGCTGAGTTAGGGGACAGTCCGGGGAGGAAACGAATCCTTCCCTTATAAGCGCCAAACCGGAGACACTCACGGCACCCATAGCGTTTCCGCTACATCGGCGTGCGGGTCACCGACTGGAAAGTAGTGTTTCGCGCCCCCCTGCACGCTTCCCTGCACCGAAACAGTGGCGGGTTACTCCCCAGGCCTTGACTACACAGAGCAATTATCTATAGAGAACACCCCAAAGTCAGAGCTCAAGTGCAAGGCTGGGTCAGGCACCAGGCCCTGCGCTCCCGGTCCAGCCGGCCTGATACCTGAGCGCAACTCCGAAAAAGAAAAAAAGAAAACTTGCACGAAGAGCGCGACCTGGCTGGGGCATGCACCTGTCCCTGGCGCCGTCGGCTGCGGCCGTGGCCATCCATCCACTCTCTTTTCCTTCTTCGTCAGCTAAAGTAGGTCAGACTGAGCTAGGCGTGCATCTCGTGAAAGTTTGTGCCCGCTGAAGTTTCTTCGGTTTCTTAGAGGGGGGCTCACAGTCTGACTTCCGAAATCCGCAGGCATCTCGCCCTGGATTCCTTAGAGCCTGGCCGCACGAGGAGCAGGAGTGGAGGCCCGCCCCCTCATTCCCCGGAGGTCAGAGGCCGAAGACCCCGCGCGGGAAGTCCCCGAGCCAGCACCCCCAACCACCCTGGGCTGCAGCTGCTCTCACTTTCACAAAGGTCCTGCAGCCTTCGTTTGGCAAGAGGAGCTTCCTTCTGGGACCCAGAGAGAGGAGACACCCGCCGCACTGTGACAGGGGACCCGGGAGTGCTGCCCGCATTCCCCTCGCCGAGCAGGGGCTCCCGGGGCTGCAGTTACCTTGTTCCTCGGCGGTCCCGGGCTGAGGGAGTCTCTGGGGCTCCGCTGCGGGGGACCCGGGAAGCCAGAGGCGCTGGATTCCACAGGCACCCCCGGAGCTCTAGAGTCCTGGCCCCTCTCCGGCTGCGGGGACTCGGAGCGCCCGACACGCGCGGGAGCGCTCGACTGCCCCGGAGTCCTGCCCTTCGGGGGATGGTGAGCCCCGCTCGCGGCTCCCTGGTTGGGTCTGAACCGGGAGCGGCTGAGAACTTGCTGGGGAGAGACCGAGCTCCGACTCACTCATCCCTTAGCACCGAGCCGCCTACTTATTTTAATCCACCACCCTCCTCCCTCCCTCCCTCCCTCTCTCCCTCCCTCCTCCCTTTGCCTCAGGATTCCTCCCCTCCCTCCCCTGTCCCCCAA